GCGCTAATAGATCCTAACTTTCTACTAATTCACATCATTTGCCATGTCTTTTCACATGCGCACTCATTCCTTTGGCATTTTTTATCAAAATGTAAATGGTTTGCTTACTATATGTACCAATCTTTGTGATAATGTCCCCGAAATTATATGTTTTTCTGAGACTTGGCTTGTCGATTTGTATCGTAATTGCAATCCGTTTCCTGATAATTATTTTGTTTTTCAAGCAGACAGAGCTTACGCTTATTCAAACTTAACGCGGGGTGGTGGCGTTTTGATTGCAGTTCAAAATTCTTTTTCTGTGTGCAAATGTGGGTATGACCTTGAACTTACATATGAATGCGTTTGGATAGAAATTTCTATTTTTGATTGTTTCAATTAACTTGTTGGTAACCATTATTTTCCTCCCAATATGGATATCAAAATTATTGAAAATTATTTTAGTTCTTTGGAAGCTAAGCTGAACCCTCAAAATTTCCGCGTAGTCCTGTTAGGTGACTTTAATGTACCTGACTATGACTGGGTTCGTGGGTGTCCCCATGCTAACTCACATTATTATACCAAACTTAGAGATGAGGTAATTTATAATGCTGCATGTTATTTTGAACTTTCTCAGTACAGCTTTGCCCTACAAAACCAGAAATTATTTGATCTTGTATTTGATAATTTTACTGATATTAATGTTTCTAAATCTGATTTTCACTTGATTGAACCTGATACCTTCCATCCTTCTTTGGTTGTTGATCTTGTTATGTATTTTTCTTCTTATTGGCAGCCTCCATATTATTCTCATATGCTTGTAGTCATTATGTATTGTTAAACTTCTTTTCTATTTTTCTATGACTCGACTTGTGTCTATAATCAGTGTTCTGTTGACTGTATTGTTAATAAGCTCAACTCAGTTGTTACTGAAACTTTAAATTTTCCCTATGCTATAAGTGTTCTAGGAAGTCCAAGTTTTCATGTTGGTTTTCTAGTACTTTAAAATACTATATTCGTAAAAGAAAATATTTATTTTTGTCGGTACAGAAAGACTAAATGTGATCTTCATTATTCTTATTTTTAATTTCTTCGCAAATTTGTTAAAGTTACTATTAAATTTGATAGACAGTAGTGGTTAAAATATGTTGATGACACTTTAAAACCTCATCCCCAGCATTTTTGGAAGTATGTTTCTAGTTTTAAAAGGAAGGATAAGTCTTTCATCCAACTTAAGCTGATGATCAGTTAATTACTGACTCTAAACTAATTGCAGATTCCTTTGCTAATTATTTTAAAAAAGTTTTTAATGCTAATTGTCCTTACGTTACTCCTCCTGTTACTACTACATCAGACTTTTTACCCATCGTATCTATTTCTGCCTTTGAAGTATTATTTTTAATCTCATTGTATCGTCTGCGACTTTTCCATCCTTGTGGAAACAAACTGCTGTTGTTCATATATTTAAAATGGGTGACAGTACTTGTGTTAGTAATTATAGACCTATTTCTATTCTTAACAATTTTTTCAAAATATTTGAATTTGTTATTTATGACAACTTATCTTATTTCTAAGATGGTAAAGTTGCGTCATATTGTGATATAATAAGTATATATTAAATCTTGTCCGTCTAATCACATCATTTAATATTTTAAATATTTTAAATGTTAATTATTGTAATATTTTAATATTTAATAAGAATTATTGTGATTAGACAGACGTAATCATGCCTGGTATGAGTTTAGAAAATTTAATTCCACTTCAACTAATTTGGTTACTTATTTAAACTTCATTATGCCCATTGTTAGCACACAAGGTCAAATTTATTCAATATACTTTGACTTTAATGGTGTTATTCGCCTTATCTGGCTGTTGTCAAGCACTTAAATAAATGAATGGAATTAAATTGAATTGTGAGTGTCAGTGTGGCTTTAGAGCAGATAGATCAACGATAGACCAGATATTTGTATTGAGACAGATTCAGGAGAAGGCCTATGAATATAATATTGATTTAAATCATTTATATGTGGACTTCAGACAAGCATTTGATAGTCTCAATAGCGACCAAATGTTAAACTACATTCTCCTATTAGGGATACCATCTAAATACATCAGGCTCATTAGAGTGACGTTGAAAGACTCCAAGGCTGTAGTAAGAGTAGATGGTGAGCTAACTAAACCATTTAATGTCAGTATGGGAGTTAGACAAGGAGATGCTCTCTCAACAATGCTCTTTAACCTGACGCTGGAAGCATCTGTTCGGAAACTTGAGATCTCATGACATATATGCATAGAATCAATACACGTGAGTGCGTATGCCGACGATATAGCTATTATTAGCAGAAATAAAGCTGCATTGGAAGAAACAGAATTAAGGGGGCTAAAAATAAATGAATCGAAAACAAAATATATGAAAGTTACAAATAAACTGGGAATAGGACATTATAATTTTGAACAAGTACAGAATTTTAATTACCTGGGTTCACAGATTAATACTATAAATTCAGTAACTAATGAAATTAAAGCACGTATTGTGAATGGTAATAGATGTTATTATGCCTATCAGAATTTAATGAAGTCTAAAATACTGGGGAGGGAACTTAAACTGAGAATCTATAAAGTTCTGATAAGACCAGTAGTCACATATGAATGTGAAGCCTGGACATTAACTAGCTTTGATGAGCAACAACTTAGAATATTTGAACGCAAAATATTACGAAAAATCTATGGTCCAATACAGAATAGTGATGGCTCCTGGAGAATTAGGATGAATCATGAACTAGATTGTATCATAGAGGGGATGGAGAAGAATTGTGAATGATAGAACAGAATGGAAAAAACTCGTCGAACAAGCTAAGACCCACATAGGGTTATAACGCTAGAAGAAGAAGAAGAAGAAGAATAATTAAATTGAATTATAGCATTATTTTTACAGTGCAGTTCCAAAACCACATATATTTTTGTCTCATTTAGGGATTCAATACAATTAAATGATTTTGTTAGTGAATTTCTTGTTCAATTTTGGGTTTCACTGAAAAAGAAAATAGAAGGGTTCATGTATGTTACACCACCTGCTCTCATACAGTGGTTCATTCAACCATACCTACTATTGTGGTCCGATAAGCACTGTCTACTTGTATTAGATTTCTCATTTAAATATGTCAGTCTTCTGGGTTGTCACGCCATGTAGTCTGATAGAAGTTTACTGACGTTTCAGAAGTTCTTGCTGCCTCCATCATAAGGGCAAATCACCATGATGATGAATGCAGCAAGGTCCTCTGAAATACCATTAAACTTCTATCAGACTACCTGGCGTGACAACCCAGAAGACAGCCATCTTCAACTAGCAGCCTGCGACCACTCAGTATGAAAAGTAAAGTTAAGAAAGTTTTCATTGCATTTATTTTCCATAAGGGGGCTTAACAGACAGTACTGGATGTGTCCTGTCTAAAGGAATTATTCGTAACCTGTTTGTTCATGTTTTTTAATATTATGCTGATAATACAACCATCCCCATGCCCCTCCACACCATCTACAGGTAAAAGCAGGAGTATGAATGTCATCGTAAACTGAGAAGCATATGTGCCTAAGTGAACGAAGCATTCAATTTTAAGGTGTACCACCATCGATGACCTCTACAACAGGAAAATTGCTTATGGCGACACTGATGGACATAACAGAAGGAATTCCCCAAGATTTTGGTTTTACAGCGCTGAAAAGAAGGAAGTGGGATATTGTAACATCTCAGCAGTGTGCTTAAAAGACGAGAGGTAGGTGCGACTCCAGCTGTAGGCAATTTCTGGTGAGCTTAATGCTCCGAAGCCCACAGTGCAAATTACAATGCGCACGCGCTGTGTTAATAGAAGTGACACGATGGACACTGTCATGAAAGGGAAATACTTACAGCGTGCATTCACATTTTAAATTCAGTACAGTAATAAATATTAGTGTTCTTAAAAATATGAATCTGTTGATAGCAGAAGAATTTAAATACACGTAATATTCTTTTCAATTTGAAAGTGTCTTGCAGAGTGACTACTTGATAAATGGTTCAAAGTGACAGAGTAAACTTTTCTGTATAATGTCTTTTATTTGATTGTTGTTTATTTCATTTACTATGGCATTTAAGTTTGGCCAACAGGGTATAGTGGGATTTAAGCCTCTGTTACTTTAAAGGTTAAAATATTCTGGTTTCTTGACACCTTTTTCATGCATTAAAGTGAAACCTCAGTTTTAATGATTGTTATTTTTATTTAACTGAAAAAGTCTTGTATGTAAGACTGTAGATTAAAGTTATGAATTTGAATTCAAATATCCATAATGGAAACATATTTTTCATTCATGTTTGCCCAAATTCATCTGTCCAAAATGCTTCTTTATGCAGTTTACTCGTGAAGCAGTCCAGTAAATTTCACTGTGGGAATTGTGAATTGATGGATTTATGTAGGTTACATATTTGACTTTTTAAAAGAAACTGCTGAGGAATTTTCTCTACATTGATGTGAGTTTACTGGTTGTAATTAAACCATTTCACAAACATTCATTTTTAAATAGCAAATGAGTTAGTGCAGTGGCAGGGACATGTTTCTAAAAGTGAGATTTCATGTTGTCACATTGGCATGTGTGAAGATTACTGTTTTCTGGGATATTGATCAGTGAAGTCTGGCAAATACAACCAGAATTCAGAGGCTCATGCTTCCTGCAACATCAGGACATTACTGTGATGGTGGAGGGAGTAAGCATCCCAGAAACGTCGGCCAGTCTCTACACTGCAAAGTATCCAAGACTACAGTTTTCTTCAGATGTATAAAATTAACTATTCTTGTGCTATGATTTGGTTAGGGTATAAGTAAGTAGGAAAGCAGTTAACTTTGTTACCGACTGAGCTCTTGGGAATGGCTGATGCAATGGTTTTAAATTGCGTTCCTTTTTATAGTAGTTGCACTTCCGTCGTGGATTGAGCAGAGAACAATTTGTGGCTGTTTCATTATTTAAAAAAGTAATTTTAATACGTTCGGAGGCTGTTTTGTTGTGATTGCTTCATTTAATGCGGTATTTCTGGCATTACTACTACAGACCGTAAGGAATGGAATCTTCTAGAACGTTCGTTAGGTTGGCAATGCATGCTAGAATAGTTGGTCATTTACCACTCGGACCTTAATCGAGTAGGACGCTTGATACACGTTCGTGCTTGAAGCTGATATAGGGTAGGTGGCAGTCTTTGTAGTGGTTTTTGATTATTTCAAAAATTATTTCAATGCGTTACGATTATAATTTTAATATAATAATAGTTTATGGCTTTCTGTTTAGGTTTTTTAGTTGTAATTGTAGTTTTCAACAAAGCAGTCACCATTTTGAGGGGAACCGTGGTCTTTAATGGTTGCCACATTACTTAAACATTATTTCAGAATGCTACGATTATAATACAGTATAATGTAGTTTTCACCAAAGTCAGCTTTTTGAGGTTTGCCGTGATCTTTTGTGTTTGTTTAATTGTTTAAAAATTTGTTTCAGTTCGTTACGATTACAATTATAATGTATGAGCCAGTCGTTTGAGGTTGCTTCATTACTTAAAAATCCTTTCAGTAAGTTACGTTTATCATAATACAGTATAATGTAGTTTTCACCAAAGCAGTCAGCTTTTTGAGAGGAACCGTGGTATTTTCTACATTACTACCGCAGTATAAATAATGGAATCTTCTAGAACAGCGTTCCTCAATTTATGGTATTAAGTAACTAAGTAAAAAAAAATCAAAAGATACTATCGGCATAACTAAGTTTTTCCTGAACGCATTTCGTTCGTTGTATTTTAATGTGTTACGTTAGAATTAGTGGTACGCCAGCGGAAAAGGTTGAAACCCCTGGTCTAGAACGTTCGTTAGGTTGGCAATGGGTACTAAATTAGTTTTTCGTTTACAGCCAGGACCTTTGTGGTGTAGGACGGTTGGACCACGTTGTGTGCTGGAAGGTAGGATGTACGCCGAGAGTCGCAGAAGCTGCATGTGTCGTTCATTTTGAAAGTGTGCTGTTAGTTTTTCGTTTACAGCCAGGGCCTTTGTGGTGTAGGACGGTTGGTCCACGTTGTGTGCTGGATGGTAGGATGTACGCCGAGAGTTGCAGAAGCTTCATGTGTCGTTCATTTTGAAAGTGTGCTTGTAAAACTGCAAAGAAAGGTTAGTGATTTGTTTTTCTCCTTTACTCGAAAGTGTTAAAACTAGAATGTACTTTACATACATTGTGTGGCTATGGCCGTCTTCGGGTTCGGAGTTACGTGTAGTCTGGTTGAAGTTTCCAGACTGCAGGACCCTGAAACTTTGAAGACAGCTATCTTCGTACTCACCGCCGTGAGAACCTCAAATCCTAACTAAGAGAAAGATTTGTGGATAGATTAAAGCAGAGTTTTTGCTTTATCGTCAAGAATATGTAGCTTAATAAGGCCATATTAGTTTTACAGATATACGAAGCCATTTTGAACTTTTCGACTACATGCTGATTTTAGAAATATTCAGGTTTCTTTGTTCAGGCGTGTATATATCAGTTTCTTTGGCCATGTGCAGCATTCGGCTTTAATGTTGTGACCATAGATTAATAAAATTTTAAATTCTCAACTGACTCAGTCCTTATGAACATCTGACTACTTTAAGGGTCAGTACATTTGAGTATGTTGGATTCCCAACAATTTGCGTTATATGTAAATAACATTTATACCTTCAATTTCGTAAAATGTTAGTTTCATAAGAAATAAATCATGGTTTACACAATGAAATGCCTTGGCGAGATTACAAGATATACCACCCACTTACATGATCATTGGTTTGGTATATAATAAATATATACCAAATCAATGAAACCAACAACGTACAGCAACAATTATTGTTGCTATACTTTCAGTTGGTCAAATTATAAGCATTTGCAATGTCTAATAATTGTTTGTGACCACGTCCATCTTGGATATTTATGTTTAAGTCTCCTACAAGTTTGATATAATGGTCTTTATTTTCCCTTGTTAGATCTATACCAGTAATCTCAAAAGTTTTTTTCTACACTTTTTTCTGTAACCCGTTTCAAAGGTTTATGTTGTAATAAGTTCTTACCCCTTTATATTCTTTTCTGCAGAAGTGTGAAGTTACAGTATAACTGTTTAGTTCATATATATATATATTTATTATTCAAGTCTATACACAAACTTTTAAATTGTTGATGTTAAAATTTAAAATTAATATTAATATTCTGCGCCATTCATCGTTATCTCGATGTTACAATATTGCGCTATATATTACTACATGTTTCAATGTCATAGCATCATCTTCAGGTTTTTTATCTTTAAAACTACTCTATATTTATTAATGCAAGCTTTTCATTGATCGTAGATTACTGTTGTGGGTGTTCCTTTGATCTTCTTATTATTTTGCATATTATGTTAGTTGTTCATTATTCTGTGAAATTATTAACAATATAATTAACATTTGAGTTATTAATATTATTTATATGAATAATATTAATATTAATTTTAAATTTTAACATCAACAATTTAAAAGTTTGTGTATAGACTTGCAATAATAAATATATATTTGAATTTTAAACACAAACATGGCGCATCTAAACTATAAACTATGTTAGTTATTCCATTTTTCTTTTCTCGGTGTACCTGTAGACGTGTGTCCTGTATTCTTTCACACTCTAGGACGGATATTATTTCGTGTAATGACTATTTCCTCTAGCAACTTTCGGAGAACGTCGCTGTTAACATATTGCGTAGTTACGTTCTCGTTTACCGGGACATTGCGCGAAGAACATGAGACACAAAGCCATTGGTTATCAGGTATTTTGTCCTTGCATTGCTACGTTTGTTAAAACTTTGTTACATTTACCACGCTTATTATCTGTTAAAATGTTACTGCGTGCTGCAGCCTTACTCCCACATTCCGCCATCTTTACCATTGACCATGCCCGATGCTATCACACCGATGTGATAAACAGCCCTACTTTCAGATCAGTGGTCAGGGATGTATCAGTAGCCAATATATGCTCTTCAATACAAAATGAAACTTGGGCTGAAGTGTTCAGGGAAAATGACGTAGAGAAAATATGGGATTTCTTTTACAGCATCCTTAATTATTATTTTAACATAGCCTGTCCAAAAGTAAGAAGAAATATTTTAAGTGCTCCTAAAGTTCCTTGGATTTAATAAAGTACAATGCTACAAATAATAATAATTATAGGAGACTTAGTAATGAAAGGACTAAGTATGCTCGTTATGTACAATTGCTATGCATGATAGCTTGCTTAATAAAGCATGAGTTTGGTCCGCTCCAAACAGCTCGTTTGTATTGCGGTTTTATACAAACATTTCTGTTTTAAAATTGATCAAGCTTCTCCACTTATCTTGTGGTCTTGATCATTCGACGGATAACGTGCTGTACAGCGTTATCTTGTTCTAAGGTTGGACGTCTGAATCTTTCGGTCCATACTCCTGGTGGAACATTTCGTAGGATGTTTCGATTTCCAACCCATTCGGGTGGAGTGGTCCACTTCGTTTGAATTGGCCTCTACTCAGCACCAATTCCCTGACTTCTGCGTTAATGTAGCTCCTGGTCCATTACCCTTGAATAATTGAAATCCAAGGATGTAGGATGCACGTATATAGACTGTAGAGCTGGTAGATGCGGACATCGATTGAACGGCTCTGTCTCGCCAGTTTCCAATGTCTCTGTCCGTGAGTGGTTTGGTGAATATCACTTGTGATTCACCTCCTGATCTTGTCAAATTCTTGAAACGAACCTTTTCGTTTCGGAACGCTTCTGTTGAGCCTAAGATGTCCGATATATGTCGTAAATATCGCAAATTGAACCTAGTGTTTTCCACATATTCGGGAAAGGCATCTGTTGTTATGCCAAATCTTGCTAGATTCTGTCTAATCTCAGGCTGTCTCTCACCTACTGGGAAGGTGTTACCTGTCAGGTTTCGCGTGGCTCTCGAGTGGGGTGGAAATTCCATTCTGAAATTGATGTTTGACTCTGGAGCTTGACTTGCTGGAGCCATTACCATGTCACCAGCAATACCTAGACTTGGTATTTCCTCAAATAGGTTGTGTGTTGTCCGCGTCTGTTCTGGCTGCATGATAGCCTCCAAATCCTCCTGCTCTATGGATAGGTAAGTCTGGAACATTAAGTTCTGTTTCCTTTCCCATTCGGTCGGTGTAAGTACCAATTTCTTGCAGGTAGGCGTATACAGGCTGGGTAATGTTAAAAGTCTCCTCCGATGCCGCCTTGCGGATAGCCTTTTCCTCGCTAGTGAGGGTGTGATTAGGCTGTTTAGCCTTGACTTCCAAAAGCTTTAACCACAGCATTCCCGTAGCATAGTAAGATAACTCTTCTTTTGCCATTCGCCTATCAAGTTGTTTCTCATCAACCGAAATATTGTTGTATACTTCAACGGCGATGTCGGGTAATTTACTGTAATTAGCCTCGAAATTTTGTCGCGGCTCGATTTCTGTTACGGTGGTATCTACACCAAAAATTGCTTCAGAAATAATCGGATCATTTCTTTGAGGAGTGGGCATTTGCGGCATGTTCACTCTTGACGGTGGTGTCGGGAGTGGTGATTTCGGCCCGAGCCTCTTTTGTGGCGGTTCCTTCTTACCGATACGTCCACAAAACCAACGTGGACAAACTATTGTCAACATGAGATATCTTAGGATAATCAGGGAAGAAGAAAGTTAATTGCTTCCCTGATTATGCCAATATATCTCATGTTGACAATAGTATGCTCTTCAATACAAAATGAAACTTGGGTTGGGGTGTTCAGGGAAAATGACGTAGAGAAAATATGGGATTTCTTTTACAGCATCTTTAATTATTATTGTAACATAGCCTGTCCAAAAGTAAGAAGAAATATTTTAAGAGCTCCTAAAGTTCCTCGGATAGATAAGGATTTTCTTGTAGGAAGAACAAAATTTAAGAAGTTGCATGATCTTTATGTGCAAAGTAAGATACAGGAATATAAGGACATTTATAAAACTTGAAATGGAATACAAGACAGTTATTAGAACTGCAAAAGCAAATTACATTTATAATATTACCAGTTCTAATAACATTCCTAAAGTATTGTGGATATTTGTAAATATGTAGAAACTGTAAATAAACAAAATTTTATGCATCCACAAACTAATAATAATATAATACGCATAAATTATTCACTGGTTCTAATATAAATAACAGACTGAATTGATAAAAGTAATCCAGAGCACGAATAATAAAAAGAAATCAGCAGGACTCACTGACATGGTCACCTTTCTTACTAAATAAATGTGTACCTCACATGATAAAACCAATTGTAGAATTAGTCAATATATCAATTAGAGAAGGCATTTTTCCCATCTACATTAAAAAATCAGTAGTTAAACCAATTTACAAGAAACGGTCTAAAAAAGAGGCAAACAATTATCGTCCGGTTACTCTTGTCCCAGCTCTATCAAGGGTTCTGGAAAGGTAATAGCAAACCAGCTAATAGTCTTTTTAGTCAAACGCAGTGTACTTAATAAATTGCAGTTTGGATGTAGGAAAAATAAATCCACAGACGATGCAATTGCTACAATTATTAAAAGCATGATTGAAAACCTGAATAATAAAAAAATGCAGTTGCGTATGAGACTTGCCAAAATCATTATTGTATTGAGCATAGTATTCTTATGGATAAATTATACCAGTACGGAGGTGATCAAATTTTATCTTAAAAATAGAACACAGCATGTAGAAGGCAATCAATTGAAAGAATATTTGTCAAGTAGTCTTTCAGTGAGATATGGAGTTCCTCAGGGCTCCATTCTTGGTCCGTTACTTTTAATTTTTATACATAAGTGATATTCCACGTCTAATAGAAAGCAGGACAATAGTGAGTGCTGATGACACGTCAATATTAAATGTAGGACAAGTCATAAATGAATTCCAAAAAAACAACCTCGAATAACAGGTTCAGTAAAGAAATATTTTGAGGTGAAAAATTTATTTATAAAACCAACAAAAACA